GATTTTCACCATGGACAAGTGTCAGCAAGCTGCCATAAGGTGGTGTGTTCTTTTCTACATATTACAGTGTGTTCTGTCCATCCCCCCCTGTATTCTCCTGTGTAGGTGTTTACTGTCTTTTGCTTGCTACATCTGCGGAACTGCTCAAGGTCAACCAGCTGGAGGTGGGATGGAGTTGTGGCGTTGCTTTGCTTATTATGTATCTCATGCCTGAGAACTGAACTTATGTTTATGTTGTAGAACTGTTGTGTTCCCAAGGAATTGGGCGCTAGTTTTATCTGCATTCCCGCCAGCGGGAATTGGACTCATTGGTCCTAACCTGGTTCAAGTTCCTTTAATATGTTTCCCTATGGGATCTGTAGTCATTCCTAACAATTCTTGTGTTCCTGATCTAACCATCGCTTTATAATAAATTTTACTTTGTTCTTCAAACGTGGATTTATTTCGAATGCATGGGGAATCGGACAACAAGGAGAGGAACAAAAAACTATCTGAACCGTTTCAAGATTCCCCCTCCTCCTGCTTGTCTGCTCCTTAGCTAGTAGCAATCTGGTGTCTCCAGGAAGAAGCACCAAATTGCAATGTAGATGGTGAGCTCAGTGCTGGCGGTGGGGGCCTGCCCATCCCAGGCAACCAGCTTCTGTATGCAGCAATCATCGCTGGTCACCCCAGGTTCCCTCCCCCTCCCGGGACCCGCAGCCAAGAGGGGGCGGGGCACATTTGGGGGGGCGTTGCCCCCAAGCGCCCCCCCCGGTGACTATGGGCCTAGGTCCAATGCTGATTGAGACTATGGCATGCAGTGCAGGGGAAAGAAAGCAATTTAACCCTTGGGGTCCCTGCCAATGCTCCCTCTAGTGAGCAAAAATTCTACTTTGTGAGCTACTGGCATTAAAAGTGTGAGCGAGTGATTTGGCTGCTGCGTGAATTATTTTGCTCTGGAGCCATCCTTCCCGAGCTGAGACAAAAAAAATGTGTGAGCCGGAGGCTAAAAAACTGTGAGCGAGCTCACACTAACGCAGCTTAGAGGGAACACTGGCCCCTGCTTGGTTTTGCTAATCAAAACCCATCCCATTACTTCTGCTTCCGGCTAACTGTAGAAAGGGGGAAAGAAAGGCATCATCTCTTCGCCTGCTTCTTTTAAAAGCATGCAGTCCATTCTCCAAAGCAATTGCTTTTTCCAGAGGAACCAAACTGGGTTGTCTGGAGATCAGTTGTAATAACAGGAGATCTCCTGGTGCCACCTGGAGGTTGGTAACCCTAAAAGGGGAAATGGCTCCCCACCCAGCACTAATTCAGCATGACAAAATGGCTTCCTTCCAGCTTGTTCTGATTCGAGATGGTCTCTCTCTTGTTTTGTAAGTAGCCATTCCCTGTAGCTGCTGTGTGGCTGGGGGAGAGAAGAGAAGGAATATGGGGGGGGGAGCAGGAGTCCCTCCTCCCCTCACATCATGGTCCTGAGCTGAATCAGCACCTTTTTTAAAAAAATATAATTCTTTCTTTATTGAACACATACACAACCATCCCCTCATCCCAAAGAAAAAACAGACAAACCAACAAACCAACAAAACCAAACATATAACAGAACACATAAAAAGCGGATCCTTCCTCTATACACTCTATAGTATAATTACAAAACAATTATCTGCCGAGATTAATTAGCTTGAGTATTCAATTCAGTCCACTAATCCAAAATTAATTAGCTTGAGTATTCGATTCAACCCATTTATACACATTTGACCACATTTTTTGAAAAGCTGAATTCATGTTTCCGTGGATTTTTTGCGTTAAGTTATCCATTTCAATCACTTCAATCACTTTCTTAACAAAATCCCATCTGTCTGGTAACTTTTCACTTTTCCAATACTTAGCCAGTGTTATTCTTGCTGCTGCCAATAAATGAATCGCCACATATTTCTCCTGTTTTTTCCAATTTTCTGGTAATATACTTAAGAGAAAAATTTCAGGGTCTAACGGTATTTGTAGCTTTGTTGACTGAGTTAGTACCATGTGGACCTCCTTCCAATATCTACTGACCTCAGAGGTCATTTCGGGGGGGATCGCGGGGGATCGCAGTTCCCCCGGGTAAAGTACGGGGGCGGGGCACATGACAAAGCCCCGCCCCCTGCTTCCGGCCGCCCCGCTTCCGGCCCTCATTCAGCCAGGAGGAGGCAGGAGAAGAGGGAGGGTAAGTTGCTTCCTTCCTCCCTGCCTCTCCCCATCCCTGCCTGCCTGGGGCCAGGGAGGGCCTTCGCGGGGCTTCCTTGCACTCCCGCCGGCCTTGCAGGTCCACCGCCGGGCCCCTCATGGGGCTCGGCAGTGGAGCTGCAAGGCCAGCAGCGGCGGTCGGGACCGTTGGG